GTTATGTTGAACAAAAGTCTGTTTTGAGTTTCAACCAATTCCATGGTACCTAACAACAACAACAGTAGAGTCATCATTAGATGGCATATGGTGTTACATACAGATAGTATTCAAAACTAGAATGTGTAAAGGGAAGGACATAGGATTTTAAATCAATTCTGGGTTCATATTCTGATTGTGGTATTTATATTCTACATGATCTTGCCTTTCCGATATTCAGAGTAATTTTCAAAAACAGTGTGACAAGTAAAAACTGTATACCAAATATAAAAATAGATTTTACCAAGTGAGAAAAAAATACTTATTTAAAAGATATGTAATTTCCCCATGACAAAAATGTGTTTTGCTTTTGGACAGCAACAAAATGTAAATGCAATCACATTTGACTCCCATGTACAGCTTCAGTGGAAAATTACAATGTAACTGGAAAAAAATAAAAATAAAGATTATGGATTCTGAGAGGATCTTAAAGAAAGTAGGTACTCCAGGAAAGAGTTAATACAAAGTGTGAGTAATGTGCATACCACAGAAAAGTGAAAATTCCTCCAGAATCTGATAATGTGGTTAGTTTTATGCTTGTCCAACAGTGCACAGAGATGGAACAACTATTTCTGCCTTCTTTTCCAGACTTTTCTTCTTTCTTTGTTTCTCAAGATGAATAGAGACCAATTGTTGTGCCTTGGATGGTTGCTTGGAAGCTTTCAAGATCCAAGGCAGTGCTAATCATGTTAATAGGCCAAAGTGTTATGGATTGAATTGTGTATCCCCCATAGAAAAAGATAGGCTGAAATTTTAAACCTTGGTATCTGTGAATGTACACTTTTTTGGAAATTGAGTTTTGAATATTTTATTATCAATATTTGTTATATTGGTCAGATTATCGGAAAGGACCAGAATCCCTGGAGAAAAATCATATCCGGAATCAGGGTAGAGTGGTTCTAATTCAACCTGAATGGTGTCTTTGAAAAAAAGAGGAGAAGAGAAACAGATATGAATTGTGGTTGTGTGAAGATGAACATGTTAAGAAGCCTAGATCGCCCTAAAGAGACTGTTAGTAGACTATGAAAAGTAATTCTGGTGAGGTCTCAGAAAGAAGTAAAGAGGGTTATTGAGAAAGCTTTTATCCTCTTAAGCTGGAAAAACCAAACTCCGTCAAGATGGATCCAACTCATAGCGACCCCTCCTTGGATTCCTGAGGCGGTATCACTACAGATATAGATTGCTCAATCTTCCTTCCAAGGAATGACTGGTGAGTTTGAACTGCCAGCTTTCTTTCTGGTTAGCAATAAAATGCCTCAGGTACTAAAACACCTGAGCTCCTCTTAGAGAATGCATATATCATTATGAATATATCTTACTAGAAATGTGTACATTAAATGTGCTTCTCAGGAGAACATGAAAGAAAATGATGAACATGTTATTAGACACCGAATACAGACAAGTTTTATAAAATGGCAAAGACTTTGGCTGAATTATGTTGTCATGAAGTGTGGAAAGTAAAATTTGTAAGTGACAAAGCTGGATATTTAGCTGAAGATATTTCTAAACAGAATGTGGGGCTTACATACTGGTGTCTTCTTGTTGTTTCGTACGCAATGGAAGAATAGATAAATTGAGAAATAAACTCATACAGAACCAGAACTTGATGTTTTGGACAATTCTGAGCCTTTGCTTATGAATACATTGAGGAATTATGCTCTGGATAGCATACCAAAATCTAGCTAGAAATTATTTGATAAGGAGTTTAGTGGTATGACTTGTGGATCAAATCACCCATCTCAAATAAAAGGTTGCCATCTTATACTGAAGGAGGCATAGGATAAATTAAAGGAAGTCTGTCCAACTCCTGAAAACAGGACATAGGATGATCATGCTACTCAAGTGCAAACAGATGTTATCTTTTAAGTAAAGAAAGGATGGCATTAACAGCAGCTCATAATGTTGGTGGCTTCATCTTCTGACACAGACCACACAAGTCCGAAGTGTGGGGCTGTACTTCTGATTAGCTGTAATTTCTTAGTTCTGGCAGAAAGAGCCACAACTCATGACAGAGGAGGGTTGTTACTTGCCCAAGCCAATGGTAGAGGGCCACTACACATATGGGGCCAAAGGGAACAGGCATGACTATGTTGAGACTTAAGAGTGAAGTTCAGAAGTGTGTTCAGAATAAAGAGAATTCTTTTCAATCACTGAAATAAAATAAAATTTTCCCCTGACTTTCTTGAAGCCCATAACTCTTTTCTTCTCTCCAATTTCTGTCTTATGGAATGGGAATGTGTATCCCATGCCTGATCCACCACTACATTTTAGAAGAAGATAATTTGTTTTGTAGGTTTCACATGTACACAGTTGGGGAGGAATTTTGCCCAGGAATTGAATTTACCTAGTGTCTCAACTTTACATTGTTTAGATGATTTAGAAGAGGAGATTTTGTATTTAGATTATGTGCTGGAATGTATTTTTTAAAAAGCTATGTTGAGTCCTAATCTGCGGTACCTGTGAAAAAGAACAATATGGATATAACTATTATTTGAAGACATTATCAATTGAGTTGTCAGTAGCACATAAGCTGGGGAAAAGATATGGCAGTCTGTTTTCATAAAGGTTTACAGTCTTCAAAAGCCTATGGTGCAGTTCTACTCTGCTTCTAGGGCCACAGTCAGAAGCGATTCAACAGCAGTGGGCTTGTCTTGGCTTCAGTAAGACTTAATGAGGTAAATTAGGTCCTAATCCAATTGAAAAGATCCCCTAATAAAACAGGAGAAAAGACAAAGAGATAGAGACAAAAGTGAACATCCTTTTGAAGATATGTCTCAAGTTAAGCAATGCCTTGGAGCTATCAGAATCTGGAAGAGACAAGAAAAGATCTTTTCCTTGAAACTTTGGGGGAGAATGGCCAGGAAAAAAACACTGAGCTAACTTTCAAAACTGTCACACAACAAATTTTCCCTCAATTTATGGTATTTTGTTACAGGAGTTCCAGAAAACTAATACAAAAGAAAAATAACTTATTTTTAACTTCATATGCACTATTTAAGGTATGTGCAGATTTTACTTCTGTGATAATTAGAAAAGAAGTTATATGGTAATGTGTCAAATTAATCCTCATTTTCTATAAAAAATCATCTTGCTGTCTAACTACTAATAAATCAAATGTCTTAAAAGATTTCTTTGTAATTATAAATTAAATCAACCACACATTGCTTCTGTCTTGCCCAGTCCCCAGACACTCAGATCTGCTTCCCTCAGGTAACTGAGCTCTATTTCCTCTTCTAGTTTCCTGATCATGCTTCTTATTGAACTCAGTAAAGTCAGGAACAGCTTAATAATATTACTTTTTTTTTTTCCCCTGAGTGTAATGCAGTTAATGGAAAGATATGATGGGAGACGGTTTGAGTATATTGCAATGTTGTTGTTGTTGTTATTTGCCGTCGAGTAGGCCCCGACTCATAGCGACCCCTCCTTGGGTTTCCGAGGCAGTATCACTACGGAAGTAGGATTGCCCAACCTTCCTTCCGAGGAGTGGCTGGTGGGTTTGAACCGCCAGCCGTCTGGTTAGCAGTCAAGTGCCTTAGCCACTATGCTACCAGAGCTCCCATATTGCAATGGGCATCCAAATTTTCAGATAAATTCAATTCTGATGTTAGTTCTATTAACAATATTAATAAAAACATTTCAGGAATTATTACTTCCATTACTGAATTCCTGTTATTATCTACCTTGTACAAAAGTATGGTTGAGGTAAAATAAATTGTTTAAATTAAGACAGATTATGATACAGAATTCATTTTGCCTTTCAAAGCATCCTATGAGGTTTATCTTATAAAAATCTTAATATTGGGGTAAGTAAGTGAGAGGTATTAAGTTTAAGTATATCTCTTTTCTATACAACTCATGAAGAGTTTATTTTCCCAGGTCTGCTTGATACCTGACCCTAGACTTCTAACCATTAGGTGGTGTGGTCTCACTGAGATTTGGTGCAATAATTCTCTATCAGTTTAATCCCAATTTAGCAAAAACAGTTAAAAGCACGTATAGTGCTGGAAATAGGTTAGAAAATCATGAATATATAAAAGATTTAATAACAATGATTCTTAATTCCTTTCTCAGGTTAATACTGTAAGCAGAACCATGTACTCAGGGAACCAAGCTTCAGAGAATCAAACTTCAAGCTTCTATTTCATCCTCACAGGACTTTTTGATCAAACTAAGTATCCAGTCTTTCTGTACACTTTAACCTTCGTCTTTTTCTTGATGGCTCTAACTGGGAATGCCATTCTCATTCTCCTGATTCACAGAGTGCCCCATCTCCAAACTCCCATGTATTTGTTCATTAACCAGCTGTCCCTCATGGATCTCATGTACATATGTGTGACTGTGCCCAAGATGCTCATAGGCCAGGTCACAGGAGATAATACAATTTCTCCCATAGGATGTGGGGTTCAGATGTTCTTCCACTTGACCCTCGCTGGAGCTGAGTTTTCTCTCCTTGCTGCCATGGCCTATGACCGATATGCTGCCATTTGCAGACCTCTCCACTATCCACTACTCATGAAGCCTAGAATCTGCCAAATCCTGGTTTCTGGATGCTGGTTCCTGGGCATGTTTGATGGTTTTGTGTTTGCCTCCATGACCATGAGCTTCCCTTATTGTCACTCAAGGAAAATCCTGAACTTCTTTTGTGAGGCCTCTGCCCTGCTGAAGCTCTCCTGCTCTGACATCTCCCTCTACCAGACGCTCATGTATCTGTGCTGTGTGCTCATGCTCCTCATTCCCATATCCATCATCTCCACCTCATATGCTCTCATCCTACACCTCATCTACAGGATGAATTCAGCTGAGAGCCGTAAGAAGGCCCTTGCCACCTGCTCCTCCCACATGGTCGTAGTACTGCTCTTCTTTGGAACCTCCATCTACAACTACATGCTCCCCAGATCATACCACACAGCTGAGCAGGACATACGGGTGTCTGCCTTTTACACCATCATTACTCCTGTGCTGAACCCCATCATTTACAGCCTCCGGAACAAAGAAGTCATAGGGGCTCTGAGAAACATGATGCCAAAAGGTGTGAGACTAAGAAAAGTTGTCAGTGGGAAAACCTAGCAATGACCTTTTTACCTCCTCTTTCTTCTTTCTACCCCTCCCTGTCTCTCCTCTCATTCTGGCCTCCAGTTCTGTTTCCTCAATATTGAGTCCTCCAAGATCATTTTTCTCTCTTATGCATGTGGCAATTTTCCTCCACACTGCTTTTTCATCCTCATTTATCTCAGAATTCTTTTCTGTAATGCAGTAAGTGCCATAAGGAAAATGTTATTGTTTTAGGGAACTAAATGTGGATTGGCATTCATTTCAGATTTTTTAGTGGGAAAATATTTTTGAAAATGCAAGTTTTGTTCTGTGAATCTAATTTTCAACACTTAGAAAAAAATTCTTAAAGATACCGTTACTAAATACAAAACTACAGATATGCATTGGATGGCACATATGAACTACGATGTAAGGGAGTTTGCAAAGTGAGAGGTCAGCCAATTTTCCTTCACGATCCTGCTGATATTTGAAATCTTCACAGTAAACCACTTTTAAGGTTAGGAATTTACTTCCCAAAACTCCTAAAATGAACAATGAAGTTAGAACGGCAGATAAACACTTGCTAACCTACCAGCCACTCCTCGGAAGAAAGATGAGGCAATCTACTTCCGCAGCTTTACTGCCTCAGAAACCCAATGAGGGGTCACTAAGTCGGTCTGACTTGACGGCATATAACAACAACAACAATCAAGAAATAAAACCAACATGTTTCCACACCTGCTGCATTATCTATTGACTAATGTTGTTGTTGTTTTGCCGTCTAGTCGGCCCCGACTCATAGCGACCCCTACTTGGGTTTCCGAGGCAGTATCACTACAGAAGTAAGATTGCCCAACCTTCCTTCCGAGGAGTGGCTGGTGGGTTTGAACCTCCAGCCTTCTGGTGAGCAGTCAAGCAGTCAAGTAGTGCCTTAGGCACTATGCTACCAGAGCTCCTATTGCCTGGTAGTGAAGCGAAATTTTAAAAAGTGTTTTTTTTTTTCCCCTCAGTGAATCCACCAATAAGACAAAAAAAAAAAAAAAAAAAGTTACAGATAAATAGGAGAAGCGTTACTACAGCTAGATATAACTTAATTTTGGAAACATTGATTAATGTAAAAAAATAAAAGAAGTTAAAGTGCCTAGAGGTACTCTAGATGAAAGAATAATTAAAATGTTACCTTTCTTTTTCATTACATTATTGATTTCATTAATTAATCTTTTGTAATAGCATTTGATAGGGAGCTCTGGTAGCATAGTGGCTAAGACGCTTGCTAACCAGACGGCTGGCGGTTCAAACCCACCAGCCACTCCTCGGAAGGAAG